GTATATTGTTTGGGGAGTATGTGAGCTTCCTAGGGGTGTTATAACAAATTACCGCAAAGCAACAGATATTTGCTCACAGTCCAGCAGACCGAAAGTCTAATTGAAGGTGAATGACCCTCCAGAGGACCCTGCTGCTCCTTGCCTTGCTCCAGCTGCTAGGACTCCAGGGGTTCCTGTGTCTGTGCCATTCTGTTCTCCAGGTGCACCCACACACTGTCTTCCACACTTCTATCTGTGTCTCTCCTCTGCGTACATTTCTGAGAACAATTGTCACTCGATATTAGGGCTCTGGGGTAATCGTTGCTGATCTTATCTCAAAATCTTTAATGTAATTATATCTGCAAAGACCCTTCATCCCAGACATGTCATGTTCACACGTTGCTGGAATTTAACAGGACTATAGCTTTGGGATGGGGCAGGAAAAACACGGAACTCAGCGCAGAGAAGGTGAACAGGAAAGGATGTGCAGAGTGGAGGGAAATGGACTGGTTGCTAGGATTGAAGGCAAACAATAAAAATCCCGAGGAAGGAAAAATGGTTTTAAAAAACCTGTTACAAATATGTGTAGTAATTTTTCTGTTTATTTTACTTGAAAGGCAGAGTTACAGAGAGAGGAGATGTGGAGAGATTTTCCCATCCACTGGCTCGTTCCACAAATAGCCACAAAAGGCAGAACTGCACTGGTCTTAAACTGGGGATCCAGAAGCTTTTGATGGGTCATGCAGATGGGTGCAGGGGCCCAAGCACTTGGGCCATCCTCTGCTGCTTTTCCAGGTGCTTTAATAGAGACCTGGAGAGGAAGGGGGATAGCCAGGACTACAGTAGTTGCACTGGCATGGTATTCAGTGTTATGAGTAGTCTAGACGTGTAGTCTACAGGAAGATTGCTGTAGGGCATTTTAGGGGAGGACTGGAACGTTTGGTAGCAGAGAGACAGGTGTATAAGGAGGGCTTCAAAACATCTCTAGGATGGTGGAATGAAGAGAAACGTGTATTATAGTTCTCCCCTCTCAAGTTTGAAATCCATGCATATGAAGGGGATATAAATAAATAAATAAATAAATAAACAAAAAAACATATCCTCAATAGAATAGATATGATAAGAAAAAAAAAAACTATGCATGCGGGCCTCACAGAGCGATGGCACAGTGGCTAAATCCTTACCTTGCAACCACCAGGATCGCATATGGGCACTGGTTCCTGTCCCTGCTGCGCCAGTTCCACTCCAGCTCCCTGCTTGTGCTCAGAGAAAACACAGGAGGAAGGCCCAAAACCTTGGGAACTTGTACCCATATGGGAGACCCGGGAAACGCTCCTGACTCCTGGCTTTGTATCTGTCCAACAACGGCCATTATGGTCACAGGGGGAATATGCCAGTGGACGGAAGAGCTTTCTCTGTGTCTCTCCTTCTCTCTGTAAATCTGATCTGCCTCTCCAATAAAAGTAAATGTTTTTTTAAAATAAGCAAACTATGCATGGATTTCCATTTTGGGGGGGGGGATACACAAATAGACTTAAATGCGGTTTGTCCGTGAACTTTTTGAAATATCCTCCCATTCATTTCTGAGTGGCTGCGTTGCTGCCACCTGATTTAGTGTTTTGTCTCTCTACTCTGACCTTCTTCAGAGAGTGAAAGTGATTTATGAGCCTGTCTGAAATCCTCTGCTTGGGCATTTCCTTTCAATCTGGTAACTGGGGGCATTAGAAACACAGCCACATAGGCAAGTCAGAAGCTGAACAAAGTGTCTGTTCACAGTTGATCACACACTGCTTCTTAGATCTGGACCTAGGGGATTTCAGGGTCTGGGGTTGTTGCGGGACGTCTCTGGGCAAGCCCAGTTTTCAATGTCTGCCTTGCTGGGTGTAACAGGCTCCATCAGGCTAATGGTTTCTGCCCTTGACCACTTGCCATCAAGCTCCTGAGTTTGTATTTGCTCAGTACTGCAGTAGATGTCACCCTCTTACCCCTAGAGAATTTCTCCTTCCTTCGTTGTGTTTCCATGTCCATTCCTGCACAACACCCTTTGCTTGGGGCTCCCAACCAAATGCCAAGAGCATCTTTCTCTGTGGTTATTTCTAGTAACCAACTTGTACATGTTTTGTTATTTTTGCATGTCCATGCATCCAGTGCATCTTCCTTCCCCTTACATGTAAAGTTGCAGGAGATCAGAAGTCCTATGGGTTATTTACTTTGGAGCTAACACACTCCAGTAGATAATGAAGATTATAATGAGGCTGATTCCTAGGTGGGGCTCTCATCCCTTCCCTAGTCTGGTCTGGGGCGGAGCTTCAAGTGCTGCATTTTCTCCCAGGCTCACAGAGACTGGCCACTTCTGCTTTCCTTCCAGCTTCCGGCTAATGAGCTCCCTGGGGAGGCAGAAATGATGGCTGTACTCCTGGGTTCCTGCCACCCAGGTGGGAGATGTGGCTGGGAGTTCCAGGCTCCTGACGTCAGCCTGGCCCACCCCAGCTATTGTGGCCATTTGGGAGCGTGAACCAGTAGATGAAGGAAGATATCTAGTCTGTCTCTCTTGCTGTCTTGCCTTTGAAATAGAATGATTTTTGTTTTTAAAGCCCAGCTCTTGGCATTGAGACATATAAAGACACTGTAACAGTTGCTATCAGAAGTCTCTTCTGGGGGAGTAATCAGGGCCTCGGGCTCTGTTGCCTTCCTGGGTGAGTAGTACAGGAAGTTGCTGGATGCAGCCCGGGGCCAGGACTTTGCTCAACTGCCAGGGCCAACCTATTGTCCTCACACCAGGAGACAGCATCTCTCCATTTCTGAAACCTCAGCTACTTATTCCAGCTTTCAGCCTGAGACACGGAAACACATACATCTCCTATGAGCAGCAGGTTGCCAGATCTTCCAAGGATGCCATGGAATGTTCTGTCATCTGCCTCATCCTTACTCTAATGGCCATGAGCCGCGGTTGGCTATTCAGCACTGGAGCTGTGAGGAGGCAACTGAAGAACTGCGCTTGCATCTGGATCAATTTACACTCAGCAGTCACGTGTGTCAAGTGGAGAGTCTGTGGGAAAATGCAGTCAGAAGGTGCAGAGTCAGGGAAGGCAGGTGGGGAAGCTGAAACCCCAGAAAAGAGAACTCTGCTAAGGCCTTTTGTATACCTAACTTCAATAGAGTCCCCACTCTTGCCCGCTGCTTTCTTTGATATTTAAGCCTACGCTGGCAGCTGTGTCAGAGTTGTCCTTGCTAGATCGCCAAGCCACTTGGCCAATTAAGACAGAAGCACAGGAGAGCCCTAAGGTCTGGTTTAGTATTCAGCAAATGAATAAAAGGTTGCTCTGGGGCCAGCGGTTTTAATAAAGCTGGAGGGGTTTAGGTGTGTCTCTTATTCTGACCTGTAGGGCAGAGTAAGGAGGAGGATAAGGCTTCCAATTTTAAATACACTTTGCAGAAAAGACCATCATCCACCTACCCCTTCACCCCCAAATACACAAAACTCCCCTTCACTTTGCAGAAGAAAGTTAAACCGTTGTTTGGGTTAGAGGGGAAGACCTGAGGACTACAATGAAAGAATGCCAAATGTTTACCTATAATGCAAATGCAATAAGTACCCTCCTGCACCTAACCTGTCTGGGCAATGGTGCCTTCGTCATAGCTAAGATAAGGCTTCGAATGAGCTGGGGGTACAGTGCCATGAATCTATTGCAAGTGGGTGCAGGGAGATTTACTTGTGGCTGATCTGGGAAGTCACACAGGGGAGGATGAGGGTTAATCAAGACCCTTACTGGGCACCTGGAGAGACCAGCCAGGGTCTAATTAAAGAAAGCGCATCTCCAACAGCAGCAGGGCAATTCAGTCAGTGACTTCTTCCAGGGCAATGGGGAGCAGCAGGACACCCAAGGTGTCAAAATGCAAAGTGAAGAATAAAACCCCCGTGTTGACTTGGGCAGGGCACTTTGCAAATGATAACCTAACTGGCCAAGTGGCAGAGGTGGTGTGATCAAAATGATACTGTAGTGCGGTGCTGCCTTAAGCCCCCCCCCCCCCGGGGGGTTCCTTCCACCTGTGCCTGGAGCGGCACATACACAACTTGCCCAGCAGGATGACAGAGCAGCCATAACCTGCCTTTTTCCAGATGTGCCAGTCACAGGACCTTGTAAAATAAGATGTTCCTGGAGAGTTCACTGGTGGTCACAGCGTGTTCTTAAAGTAACCACATTCTGATTAGCCAGGAAAGAAAGAGTTGCAACTCATCCGGAGGATCAGATATGGTGGAAAGAACACAGCTGGGAGGCAGGCACACCTGGCCGGACACACCTCTCTCTGGTTTCTACTTTACAGCAAAGTCACCTGGGGAACTTGTTCAAACTGCAGGTGCTTGGGCCCTCTCAGGACTTGTAGGCCTCCAATGAGCCTCTTGTCTAAACAGGCCTGAGGGGTAATTTCTGTAAGTCTTACTTTCTAACAGGCGCGGTGAGACTTGCAAATAAGCAGAGACTAGGCATTGGGCTGTGAGCTGTCTGCTGGTTAGAGCATAACGTAAAAAATAAAACCCTATAGAGAGTAAATGAAGGCTCAATCACGTTGTAGCTGTTAGTACGGGGGCCACAGATGGGTCTTATTTACTTGCTGAATCTCTTCTTGAAAATCCTGGTATTGGCTTTTGCCACTATGTCAAGAAGCCCGGAGAAGCCTCAGCCAAATTAACTAGGTTCCCAAAGTTACAAGTTGTTACGGAGTCTGGGGGAGGAAACACGCATTTTTTTTTTTTCTTTTAATGGCTGATGTTAATGAGCCCTTGTTAAGGTCCCCTCAGCCCAAGGATGGGAGGAGGAGGGATGTTGTAACAGGTTGTCGGGTTGTGGGTTGTGCGCTCTAGAAAAGGGCCGTTTGTTTTGACCCGGAGAGGCGCCTCCAGCCCGAGGGCTCCCAGCGCAGCCTCCTCCTGTGTGGCACATCTTGCTTTCATTTGGCAGCGTGAGGCTTGGAAAAGGGGGGAGGGGGCTGGCGTTCTGCCCTGCAGCTCCGGAGTGAAGGTAGCTGGCTGCACACCCCGGCGGAGGGTGGGGCTGCCGGAGGAGGAGGAGAAGGATGCACACGTGAGACCCTGAGGCGGGGAGGTAGGAGTGCAGCAGCTCAGGTAGGACAGAACAGCGCCTTCCGCCCACCCGCCCTGGGCCTCAGGGATTCGGGTCGGCAAGGTCAAGACCCTCGGGCGCCTTCCCGGACCCGCCCCGCCGCCGAGGAGCTCGCGTGGAGCGGCTGGGGCGGGGCGGGGGCATGCGGGCTCGGCGCAGGGGCGCGGGGTGGCTGCGCGCTGGGGCCCGAGCGGCGCCAGGCCCCGGGAGCCGCGGGGCTCCGGATGGCGGAACCCACGTGCGCCGCCAAGCCCGGGAGGTTTGCGCTCCGCTCGCGGCGCTGCAGGGAGGGCGCGGTGCCCGGCGTGAGCGTCGAGAAACCCCCGAAGAGAGCTTTTGACTGGCTCAGGATGAAGCCCCCGAAGGAGCCCGCTCCCAACTACAACAACAACAACGTGTCCTTTGTGATCCACTGTCAACTAGGCAAGGAGATCAAACATATTTGCAGCAACTGCAGTCGGGGGGAGGCCGCCCGGGACGGTGAGTGCCGGGGGCCCCCGTCGGGGAGGTAGCACTGCCGGTCCCCGGGTTGGTCATTATGGCCCGAGAACGGAACGTGACGCTTTTGCCGGTCCGCCCAAAGCCAGCCCTGGCTTGCAGCAGAAGCACCGGGGGTGGGGGATTCGAAAGAGTTAAAGAAGCAACTCTGCTGCTGCTGGCGACGCCTTGTTGTAGAAGGTGGAGTTTTAGGGGGGGGGGGGGGATGAGCTTTAAAAAGCTGTTACACCTGCAGACTCCTTCTCGTGCGCTCCCTAGCTGCGCCCCATCCCGGTGGTTACGGGGTTTCGCTGGGCTGCGTGCGATCCAGACGTGGGGCTTCGGGGGCTTCGGTCGCCAGCTGCACTTAACGGGAAGGCCTCTGGGAGGGCCAGGGAGACTTGTGGAGTTGGTCGGAAATGGTCTGTTTAGAGGAAAATGTGGCTCAGATTTCTGGTCCGCCGCCATTCTCTTTGGAATGGTGTCCTGATGGTCAGAGCTGGGGGAGGGGTCGTGCTACAACCCCTTCTAGACTTGCCGAAGCATCTCCCCCTCCCCCGACCCCCAACTTAATCCGTTGTGCAGCGGAGGGGTGCTGGGCTGCCCTTGAGGCGGCCGAGAGCCAGGGACAGCTGGCACGGGGAGGGCAGAAGCTTCTGGGAAGATATGGGTGCGCCCAGGTGGTGGTGCAGGGTCCCGATCCCCCCGGCCAACGCCCTGGGGTCCCTGGGAAAGTTTTAGGTAGCAGGATTCAGCGGGAATGCATTTAAGTCCAGGCCCTCCTGCAGCTAGGCTGAACCCGCACACCTGCTTGGGCACGCAGATTTTCCTACCAACCATGCAGTTTTCCTTGTCCCCTTTGGGAGAACAAATCTTACTGAAGCTCCCTCTTGGTGGGCAGCAGAAGCGCAGAGGAACGAGGTGGCTGTGGCCTGGGTTAATGCCTTTTCCAAACGAGACGACCTGCTAACGTCATTATGGTTTTCTTTGATTAAACTGCTGGAGCGGCTGTAGCAGGGGCCGGTGCAGGAGGAGAGCTGGGACAGAGGCAGGCCCCTGGAGGAGGAAGCTGCCAGGCGCCCTGGGCGGAGAATAGCGGTTTCTGAGAAGCACACACTTAGTGACCTGGTTTTGAGTCTTATAAGCTGAGCACCCTAATGATCCTGATCCCAAACCAATGCCATGAACTCGTGACCATCCCAACCAGGTCAACCCCAGCGGGCTGCTTCCACAACCTTGCCAGTGTAAATGCTTCTGTGATGAGGAAACTTGTGGAAGGTGTGTGTGTGTGTGTAAGTGTGTGTAAGTAACCTCAACCGTGGTCAGTCCATGGTGTCTGCTCTCAATGGAGACGGCCAGGTGTTTTTGCCTACAGTGTATGTTCCCTCTTTCTTTTTTCTTTAAGAAAAATTAATGCATCTGAATGGCGGAGTTGCCATGGGGGGAGAGATGACTGCACCTGCGGGGCCTGGGCCAGGTCAAGGTCAGGAACCTGGAATTCCATCCTGGTCTTCCACACGGGTGGCAGGGGTCCAAGCGCTTGGACCATCTTCTGTTCTTTCCTCCGGCGCATTAGCAGGGAGCTGAATCGGAAGCGGATGACCTGAGATTGTCACAGGCAACGACTTAACGCACTAAGCCACGGATACCAACTCCATGTGTTTCTTTGCAAAACGTACGGATTCTTTGGACTGTTCTAAGGATCTCTTTATGGAAGCATGTTCGTAGTTTATCAAATAGCATTTCCTCTCAAAGGATTCTTATACAAGGGTTCTTTAAAAGCTGTGCTGAACGGGGGCTGTCACCCTGGCTTAGTGGGCTAATCTTCAGCCTGAAGCAGCCAGTCCTGAGGAGTTCCATACAGGCACTGGATCTAGACTCTGCTGCTCCACTTCCGATCCAGCTCCAGCTCGCGGCCTAGGAAGACAGTGGAAGTTGACTCAGGTCCATGGGACCCTGCACCCATGGGGAAGACCCAGAGGAGACTCCTGGCTCCTGGCTTTGGATAGGCTCAGCTCTGGCTGTTGCGGTCATTTGGGGAGTGGATCAGCAGACGAAAGACTGCCTTTTCTCCTCTTTGTAACTTTGCCTTCCCAATAAAAATAAGATCTTTTTTTTTAATGCACAGATAATAGAGTTGAAGCTTTTACTTTTGGAGAAAATTCCCACACAATATGCATGCTTGATGAAGCTGTTAAAAACAGCATGCAGGGGAGACTTGGAGAGCTTCCTTGTGGCTGGGTTCAACACCGCTCTCCCTGCCAAGCTGCCTGAAATATGATCCCATCAGTGTATAGCTCTGCTTTTGTTGTTGAAACAGTACGTAGTGTAAAAGGAAAGGAAGTTCAAATAAATCTCACTTTTTCCAAGAATTAGCATCTGATAATCACCTACTGTGAGTGGAGGTTTTGTTAGATGACTATTTAGAAGCTATCTGCAATCGGAGGCAGATTTTTCTGTGTACCGGAAGTGCCAGTTAGTATAAAGGAAATGTATGGTCTGTAGGTATAGGTTGTTCAGATTCAGTGAAGATAAAGTTTTTTAGATCATTTGAGATGCAGAAAGATAAACTCTCACATCTGCTGATTTACTTCCCAAATATCTGCACGAACCAGGGCTGGGCCGGGTCAGAGCCAGAGGCCAGAAACCCATTCTGAGACCCACGTCTTTAAAAGGCACGACGTGCTGTCTGCCAGGAAGTTGGAATCTGAGCAGAACTAGAGCGCAGGCGCTCCGAAATAGCATGCGGGCCTCCTGCGTGGCATCTCCACTGCCAAGCCTGTGCCTACTTGCTAGTGTAGCTCCTAGCGTGATCTAAGTGTGTCTGGCTCCTTGATCTGCACCGAGGAAGCCACGCAGTGACAATCATGGGACAACACAGTGGCAGGGAAAGCCCTCACTGGAAATGTTACGTGCGTATTGGCTGCTGAGTCTCCTCCTTGTCTTATGTCAAAAGGTGGCTTTAGAGGATATTTAGCATTTCTCCATAAAAGAACATCTAACTTTAAGTATTTACAAGATGAAATGACATGTTAGTGGTTATCTTTTCATTTTGAAAAAAAGTCATAGTTTCTGATCATTAAAAATGTTTAAGATTTATATTGTTTTTTTTAATTGGAAAGTCAGATATACAGAGAGAATGATCCTCCGTGTGCTGATTCACTCCTCAAATAGCCGCAATGGTCAGAGCTGAGCCCATCTGAAGCCAGGAGCCAGGAACTTCTTCCAGGTCTCTCCCGTTGGGGTGTGGACTCCCAAGGCTTTGGGCTGTTCTTGACTGCTTTCCAAGGTCACAAACTGGAAGGGAAGTGAAGCAACTGGGTGGTCAACTGGCACCTGGCAGCGGGATCCTGGCAGATGCAAGGCAAGGAATTAGGCACTAGGCTATTGTGCCTGGCCCTCTGATAATTAAAGATGCGTTGCTAATGCTATTTTGTGATTTTATTAAGGTTTTTTGGAAAGAATGATAGGGTATGGGGTGCTGGAGAGACTGAAGAGAGTAAGAGAGAGAGAGAGAGAGAGAGAGAGAGAGAGAGAGACATCTCCCATCTGATGGTTCACTCCCCAGATGCCTGCAACATCTGGGAATAGCCGGGCTAAAGCTACAGGCTTAGGAACTGCAGGTCTCCAATATGGGTGGCAGGAACCAAAACACATACAAAATTTTGGCCAACAGGCATGGCCTACAAGGCGCATTTGTAGAAAGCTGGGTTGGAAATGCAGAGTGACCGACTGCAACCAGTACTTGAATAGCTTAACCCAGTATACTCCAACACTCACTCTGGCCTTCTGTTAAGTACTGTGTCCTGTCTTTTTTTTCTAGAATACAGTTAGCCATTCATTAGTGGCCATGGTAGTTGGCTTTGTTCTCCCTTTACTACTTTGGTTCAATACCCAAGCCATTTTCACAGGGGGAAACAAGTTTACGTAACATTTCGGTGCTGAAGGTCACAGAGCAGAATAAAAGTCAAGTCCCTGACCAGGGTGTCACCCAACTGACTTTTTTATTTATTTTTTTTATTTTTTAAAGATTTATTTTTATTATTTTTTTATTACAAAGTCAGATACACAGAGAGGAGAGACAGAGAGGAAGATCTTCCGCCCGATGATTCACTCCCCAAGTGAGCGCAACGGCTGATGCTATGCCGATCTGAAGCCAGGAGCCTCTTCTGGGTCTCCCATGCGGGTGCAGGGTCCCAAGGCTTTGGGCCGTCCTCGACTGCTTTCCCGGGCCACAGGCAGGGAGCTGGATGGGAAGTGGGGCTGCTGGGATTAGAACCGGCGCCCATATGGGATCCCGGGCATGCAAGGCGAGGACCTTAACCACTTGCGCCACCGCGCTGGGCCCCCGACTGACTTTTTAAAAAGTTTTATCGGCATCTGTCCTTGTCACCCACACTGACTGTTGAGAATCAGGAGTTCTGATGTGTGTTCATGTTACTGTGTGTGATGTACAAGGAGGTTGTTTCTGAAGGTTTGTAGAAGGAACCAGTTGTTTGGGATAGCAAGTTAAGTTAAAAGGGAGATGTCTGTATCCATATATCAAGTGCAGATTTGAATCCTGGCTAATCTGTGATTCCTTTTTTTTGTTTTGTTTTGAAAGGTTTATTTATTTTATTGGAAAGGCAGAGGAGGAGAGACAGAGAGGAAAATCTTTGATCCGATGATTCAGGTGGCCGCAACGAACGGCCAGTGCTGCGCCCATTCCAAGCCAGGAGCCAGGAACTTCTTTCTGGTCTCCCACGCGGGTGCAGGGTCCCAAGGCCTTGAGCCGTCCTCAACTGCTTTCCCAGGCCACAAGCAGGGAGCTGGATGGGAAGTGGAGCTGCCGGGATTAGAATGGGCGCCCATATGGGATCCCGGCGTTCAAGGCGAGGACCGTAGCCATTATGCTATTGTGCTGGGCCCACTCTGTGATTCCAATCAAGCTTCCGCCCATTGCATCTGGGGAGGCAATGGAACATGGCGCAAGTCCTTGGGTTCCTCCCATCCATGTCGGAGGA